GGTTCGAAAAATATTTTCAAATTTAGTAAAATAATAAAAAAATATTTAAAAACCAAAAACCTCGAAATGAAGCACTTTTTAGTGTTTAAAACTACAAGATTTAAAAACGAAGTGTGTGAACTCTGGAAACATTTCAGATCTCTTAATGTTTATAATCGTTACCTTTGCCTGCTGTTGAGGGTAAACTATTATAAGATGTTGGTGTATTATCTAATTTACCAAGACGATCACTGTTTAACATGCGATTTGTTAAATATTCAACATTGGATTGTAATGAAGATATTTCCGTTCTTCAGTTATAACAAAATGTTTTTAAATAATTTCAAAATTTTTACAAATAGCAAGCAAAGAGAGAGAGAGAGTAAAAAGGAAAGACACAGGAAGAAAGAGAGAGAGAGAGAAAGAAAGAGAAAAATTCATTATTATTTGATCTTAAATACAAACCTTTTGTTGTTGCTGCTGTTGTATAAATGTTAAATTATGTGTAGAATTATGCTCTTCCCGACCACTGTTCGTTTCACTTTGTACCGGTGATTCACGAAAACTCTCAAAACTTTGGATTTTTTGCAATTTAATATTTAGTTCTTTATAACTGGACCATATATGCTTCAAACGATCCATTAGTTTTGAGTTCATATCACGTAAATTTTGTTTTTCAGAACTAAGGGAAATTAAATAAATTTAAAGAAAAAAAAAAATGAAATCGAATGTAAAAGAAATAAGAAAAACGTAGTAACAAAAACGTAGTAACAAAAAAATATTAGTCTATAATCTCGACTATATTCTAAAGTCTCGACTATATTATGGACTATAAATATAGTCAGTATAATATTTCAAACTGTAGTACCACTGTTTGACTAGTTTATCTGTTGTGTTGCTATAGCAGACTATATGCTCTGGTCCAGAATATAGTTGAGACTATACCAAATTATAGTCCATAGTCGCGACTATCGTCTATAGTCAAGAATATAAACTATAGTCGGGACCAGTGTTTATAGTCGAGGGTATAGTCTTTAACCGGAACCATAGTATATAGTCCAAACTATAATCTATAGTCCAGACTATAATCTATGACCCAGGCTTTAGTGTATAGTCCAGACTTTAGGCCAGACCATAGTCCACTCAATAGATCAGTCTATTGTCCACTCTATAGACCAGTCTATAGTTCAGACTATAATCCATTCTATATAGCAGTCTATAGTTTACTCTATAGACCAGTCTATATTCCAATCTATAGATCAGTTTATAGTCCACTCTATAGACCAGTCAATAGTACACTCTATAGACCAGTCTATAGTCCAGACTATGGTCCAGTCTGTGGTCCAGACAATAGTCCAGTCTACAGTTTGGACTGTAGTCCAGTCTATAGTCCATACTATAGTCCAGTCTATATTCCAGACTATAGTCCAGTCTATAGTCAAGTCTATAGTCGAGTCTATAGTCCATACAGTTTGGACTGTAGTCCAGTCTATAGTCCAGTCTATATTCCAGACTATAGTCCAGTCTATAGTCCAGTCTATAGTCCAGACTATAGTCAGTCTATAGTCCAGTCTATACTACAGGCTATAGTCCAGGCTATAGTCCAGTCTATATTCCAGACTATAGTCCAGTTTATACTACAGTCTATATTCCAGTCTATAGTGCAGACTATTGTCCAGTCTATAGTCCAGACTATAGTCTTGTCTATAGTCCAGACTATAGTCTTGTCTATAGTCCAGACTATAGTCTTGTCTATAGGCCAGACTATAGTCTTGTCTATAGTCCAGACTATAGTCTTGTCTATAGGCCAGACTATAGTCTTTTCTCTAGGCCAGACTATAGTCTTTTCTATAGGCCAGACTATAGTCTGGGACTCGACTATAGCCTGGACTATAGCCCAGAGTATAGCCCAGATTATAGCCCAGTCTATAGTCCAGTCTATAGTCCAGGCTATAGTCCAGTCTATAGCCCAGACTATAGTCCAGTCTACAGCTCACACTATAGTCTAGTTTATAGCACAGACTAGAGTCCTGTCTATAGCCCAGATTATAGCTTAGACTATAGGCCAGAATATGGTCCGGACTATAGTCCAGTCTATAATCCAGACTACAGTCCAGTATATAGTCCAGACTATATTCCAGTCTATAGTCCAGACTATATTCCAGTCTATAGTCCAGACTATATTCCAATCCATAGTCCAGACTATAGTCTTGTCTATATTCCAGTCTATGGTCATATTCTATAATCAAGACTATAGTCTATAGTCCAGTCTGTAGTATGGACTATATTCCATTGTTCAGTATATAGTGCAGACTATATTTTATAATCCAGACTATAGTATATAATCCAGACTTTAGGCCAGACTAAAATCTATAGTCTAGAATAAAGTCTGCAGTTTCAGATTATATTCTTAACTATAGTGTAATATACGGTCTATTGTATAATTTCTGATAAGATCCGAAACCGAAAATTTTAGATATTTGAACCATTCAGCTTAAAGAGCATAATTTTGTTTAGGTGTGCTTGGATTTTAAAGTCAAAATAAAATTATATATTAACCCCGGATTTAAAATTCTGTTCTAATTTCTTGATTATCTAGTTCAAGAATATCCACCCGAGGATTTTCATCAGCCAAAGCTTCAGCCTCCAAAGGCTCTTCTTTTTCCACATTTACAGTATACTGACTTTTAACAGCTGATTTTGATTTCTCACGTTTTGAAGATTTTGGCACTAGTCTTACATTGATATCAACCTTTACCGGTTTCTTTTTACATAAAGTCTTTTCCTCTTGCATACTCTCGGTATTGGTGCTTTTATCTTGCTCCGGTTTTTTCGTGGCTGGTTTTTCCACATCCTTTAGACACTCTTTGTTATTACAACAGGCTCGTAGGACATGTTGACCCTGGCAACATGATGGAGAGGGCGTGTCGTCATATCTATGACATGGATGTGTTGTAGCATTTTCATAGTTCATTGTTGTAGTTGGATAGGTGTGGCAAGTTTTAATGGTTTGTTTTAGAACAAGATGCTGTTGCAACCAAGTCAACGGCTCTGTTCTTGAATGATCCATTAAACGATCATGTGAATAGCACCGAGTGCGCGAGTGACAATCCAAACGAGGAGATTTTCTAAATTTCGATCTACTATTACTGCGTTCATAGTGGGTGCTGGTGTTACTATTACAGGTGTCATTGGTGGTGGTGGTATTCTCTATATTTATGGTGTTTTCTAGGTTCTGTTCTTTACTATCCCTTTTCGTACAGGGGTGCTTTAAATCTAAAGTGAGATTATGTCTATGATGAAACAGATGACAATCTGTTGTCGTTGTTGGTTTTAAGGGTTGTGGTATGGTGGTTTTGTTATTAGTGTTTTTGTTATTAAATGATAAATTTTTGTTACTGTATTGCCATATTTCGTTAAATCCGAATATTTATAGGATGTACTAAGAGGACCTTTATTACATTTACACATATCGGATGTTAAAGAATCCCTTGAACTATACTTTTTATAGAGTTGACAGTGACATTTTGTTTTGCTACTTGTGCTGGGTGTTAGTTTAGGTAATGGTGGCATTTTAGCCCATTCCAAATCCAAACGTTCAGTGCTACGTGATATATTCGCCCAGATATGTTCATCATCAAAGCGAGAAGTGTACACGTTTACGTTTTCTCTCGCTGCCGGCTGAACTCGCACCAGTTCCTTTGTTGTTGTCTCTTCTATCGCTAGTGTTGCAATTGTAGCAGGGGTTTGTGACTCCGCTACAGGTGTCTTTACTACTTCCATTATTACATCTTCGTTGTCTTTTAAGATTTCGGGGAGTGGTTGTATTTGTGGCGTAGTTGGAGTTTGTGGTTGCGGTTGTATGTCTAAGGTTGTAGTTGTGGTTTCTTTATATTTCATAAGACAAAATGGCAGCACAAAAAATTTACAATGACAGCATGTTAAACCAAAAAAATGGAGTTTTGTTTTGTATTTGAAAGTGTATTTATATGTTTTTTTTTTTCTTTTCTCTGGAGAAAAGTGTTAAAGTGTTACAACAACAAGGTAATAATAAGAATAATGACACAAACAACAACAAAAAAAATGAGTTGTAAATCATAAAACATGAAGGAAATGAGCGAAAGTTTGGGGAGAGCTTTTTTGTGTTTATTGGTTTATCTAACTGTCTGATGTGGCTTGTAATCTGTGTTCCTGTTAAGTTTTATGTAATTTTTAGGAATTTATTTAATTGTTTTAATAAATATTCCTTAAAATTTCTTTAGTGATTTCAAAAAGTTTCAATATTTACTTGTGTTTTAAAGTTGTATCTTCTAATTTATTCGTTAATGTTTTACATTCATTGGTTAATTTATCCATGAGTTGCTTTTGACTTTGTATCATTTCTTCTAGTTCATTAACAGTCTCGGCTAGAATTATATAATACACAATTATTTACAATTAAAAGAAAAAATATCAAACATTTTTTTCTCTTTACAACAAAAAGCTTACTAAATCTACTGCATCTCATGGATAAACTATTGATTTTTTTTTATGTATAAATTTCTAATTTGTTTAATAGACCAAATGATTAATTTAGTTTTTTTTATTACACTTTTTGAGTTAAAAATTTGTATTTAATTTGTTGAAACATTTAAAACACAGGAACACAAATCAATAGCTTACCCAGAGTCTGGCTGAGTTTAGTTGAAAGCTGTGCAAATGTGATATGGGAATTGTAATGGGTTAAAGATAAGTGTTAATAGTGCATGAAGTAATTAAAAGTGTTCAACGAAAGTTCTATATTTGTTTAATAAATTGTAACTTAAAAGAGTATTTGGAGTCCTAATAAATTTCGACTCTATCTTTGTACATAAGTATGTCCAGATGACATTCGAATGTTGACTATTGCTATACGAAACCCTATTTCAATAAACGTTTTCTCGCCTGGAATCCGGAACGGTGTTTAGTTGTAGCGAATCTTCAGCCGTCCTCTGACTTCTTCATTTATGGATATACGACTAAATAATCCTTGAAGTGTCTAGAGAACTGCATAGCTAATAAACGAGCTAGAAATGGCTGGTATTTTTCTTACAAATTGTAAATTATTCGTTCAAATTGAACTGTAAGAACATGTCGAACTTTGGCGGCTTTATGAAATCACATATCAGGTCTACCTGATCTCTATAGGATGCATTCAAGTCATGTTTACTTATAAGCTTCCGTAGAAAGCAAATAATACCGTTATTTTCAGTAATCATATGGTATATTGTCTATAATAACTACTGCAGAAGTTGTCAGACAGTGACCGTGCCCCATCTACTCTGCAACTGTCCAATATTAATCGAAATTAGAGAGCATCACTTCGCATTCGTGCTGCCTTTCTTTTAGATATGGAGGATAAATCTAAAAAATATACTCCATTTTACTAATAAAACCAGGTGGGTTCATTTTGGAATCAATACTATAGTAGGTATTACTCCCTGATACCTACTATAGACTCGTGTTATCACTAGGGCTTTACAACGGGATCAGTAGTTAAATGGGCCTAAATGAGCTGTTCATGAAATGTCTTCCCTTTATACCTAATTTCACCTAATCATATCTGCACGTCTGTTAAAAGCATAATAGAGCTCACAGGGAAGATGTTCGTAAATATTCTCTATTGATGAGATTTGTTTGATATTGAAAATGAGCAAAAAAGAATGTTAACTCGTACAACGCGAATAAGATTTGCCCTTCTAGATGATTATCTGTTGAATGAAATGTTTGGATTCGAGGTTCTAAAAAAACTAATGGAGGGTATGATGAATTACAAGATGTATACGATGTTGCAGGGCATATAGGGTCGCTAATGTATCGTTAATACTTCCAAAAGTGGCATCCGGTAGGTTAGTGGTTAGTGTTCTAGTCTGGTAGACCGGAGGTGGTGGGTTAGATTCCCACCTGAGGCACTGGTTAAGGAGTGCACAAGAGGCCCGATAAAGGCCTAGGTGTATTTCTATGGATTTGGTGTATATATGTATGTACATCCTCCTTTCAAACTAACTAACTAACTACTAACTAAGACTTCCAAAATATGTACTCCTGTAACTACTAGGGTATCACAACGGAAGTGGCTTCATGTTAACCTAACCTAGTCATATTCGTTCGTCTGTTCTTTTGTCTGTTGAAAGCTATACGATGTAGCGGGACATGTAGGGTCGCTAAAGTATCATTAAGACTTCCAAAATATGTACTCCTGTAATTACTAGGGTATCAGAACGTAAGTGGCTGTCAGTGAACCTAACCTAGTCATATTCGTTCGATTGTTCTTCTGTCTCGCGATAGGCCCCAGATGGAACGAGCCACTCGTACACTATAAATAAGGTCCTATTTTCTCGATAATTATCTCCATACTTTCGCTGTTTATCAAAGTAATCTCTCGAATAAGGTTGTAATGGATGTTTGATTTCAGTGTTCGAGAAAACTGAAGGAATAGCTTATCGGTGACTGACTTTGAGGTTATGAATTACTAGATGTTTCCATCTATATGGTATTTGCAAGACATACGGGGAATTTGGAACGTTAAGCCTTTCCAATGAGTCGCCTAGACAGGTAATTACGAGAAGTACTATTACTTATACGATAATTATCTCGATACTTTCGCTGTTAATCAAAGTAATCTCCCGAATGAGATTGTAATGGATGTTCAGTTTCAGTGTTCGAGAAAACTGAAGGAATAGGTTATCGGTGACAGACTTTGAGGTAATGAATTACAAGATGTTTCCATCTATATGGCATTTGCAAGACATGCAGGGGATTTGGAACGTTAAGCCTTCCCAATGAGTCGCCTAGGCAGGTAACTACAAGAAGTACTATTACTTATACCTTTGTTGCTCACCGTTGTACAGCTTATAGAGTGCTATCAGCGTCGCCATTTTTAAGTCCTCAAACATGGTTGGACACATAAGTTTACTGGAAAACTATTGTTCCAAGATACGTATGCTTAAACAGATAAAACCAAATGTGCTGTTAACTAACTTCCAAAGGGAAACCTAAATAATGAGATCAATCCACAACAACCCCTAGAGACTCCATTACATCCAGAAAGATACACCGTTTGATACTGTTTATACGCTCTTGCCATCATCGGTCTTGATTACTTGAAAAATGAAGTCGTAGCTAGCAATAAAGGTCAATAGAGATCATTATTGAAACATGATCAAGGTTTTCTCAAGAAATCGACCTCTTGACCAGCAACAATTGATGGATCGGAAGCTAATATTGTTCGTGTTATTCATTACATTCGCCCCGCAATGCTCAAAAAAGTTTCCCAAATTTGGACGTCCAAAATTAACTTGGTCAATATAATTTTTTTCTTATAAAAATTAACTTTTTGTGTGATTTTTTTTAAATCTTCAAATACTATGGCGCTTAAAAAACACCCTTTATAAATGACCGGTCTAAACTCAACCTTAATATAACACTTTTGACTAAGTATCACCAAATTGTGTTCAGAAATAATCCATTCTTATGGAAAATGTTTTTATACAAATATTTTCTAAACCTTAATCAAGTGAATTTCATTTTAAGATTAGTTACGAATATCTAACGATTTCAACATCTATTCCCTCAAGTCCACGAAAAGCCTTAACAATCTCATAAATACTATAAAGTTTCTTTAACAAAAATATTGTGATATCTTAAAATGTGACAAGAAAAGAGATAGTGTCATTACAAAAAGAAGTGCGCAAGTGTTCACTAAACTTACATAAAGGAAAAAAAAAACGAACGAACTAAACTTACCATGCTTTTCTTGCATTTCGGAAATCCGTTTATCCAAATCCTTTTTAGTGGGACGTATTTCATTTTTCATTTCACCATAGGCCAACTAAAAATACAAAACAAAAACAAATTTTTAATTCCCTTTAATACCAAAACAAAACGGCTTCAAACCCACCTCTTTTTCCAAATTAGCGATTTCATCATTCAAACGCAACACTTCCCTTTTCGAGTGCAACAGATCGGCATCAGCTCGATCTAAACGTTGTCTCAATGAATTGATTTCTGCATTTAAACGAGCCGCCTCGGTTTTATTCTCACGTGAAGCACGATCAAGTTGCAAACGTAAAGCGGTAATTTCTTGTTCCAACGATTGCTTTTCGGCATTAACTTGAGCCATGTCGGCCAAGAAAGTGGAACGATTAGCTCTTAGCTCCATTTTAAGTTCCTCAATTTGGGAATTACGATTAGCTAAATCACGTTTCATATCATTTTCATAACGTTTTTGTCTCTCCAAGTCCAATTGTAGCTTGGCAACTTGTTCCCATTGTGAGCTGAGATCACCACCCAACTGATCAACTTGATTATTATAACGTCTCTCGGCATTGGCACGCTCATCCGCCAAACGTCTAGCCATTTCGTGTTGTAGTTCACGCACACGTTCATGCTGACGATCTAGTTCATCTCTTAAATGGCGTACTTCCAGCTCAGCTTGTGATCTTTCCATTTGTACGAGATCATTGATATAACGTTTAGAGGATTGAGCGTATTGCTGAGACTTGGCCTCATCTAAGGATTTATGCAATTGTCTAATGGTGTCCTCCAAGTTCGATTTATCTTTTTGCAATAAATCAATTTGTTTACGATGAGCTTCACAATTTAAAGCCGAATTGGGTGAAGTGGAAATATCTGAACGTGCCAGTTTCTTTTTTAAATCATCATTCTCGGTTTTAACACGTTTTAGATCTATATTAGCCTGCATTAGTTCAGCCTCTAGTTCACTAATACGAGCCTCATACACTATATTAGGAGCCGAGGCATAACGAGGACTTTTAACTTCCTTTTTGCGAGGCGTTGAAGTTTTCTTATTTGTATATAAAATATCATCACTATCCGAGGAAGGACTAGTCGTTATTTTTTCACTTTTACCCAAATTATTCAATTCACTACGAGCATGTTCGGTTAACTGTTCATTTTCATTGATCACATCTTTAACTTTACCCAATAGATTGGTTAATTCATTGCGGCAATATTTCGATTCCTTTTCCAATTGCTCTATATAATCCTCTTGTTTTTCGATAAAATTAAAGATTTCTACCGGAGCTTGGACACTGTCAGTGGGTGGCATTTGGGTTTTTGGTGTAGAGGCATAATAGTCCACAGCCGCTGAGCTACTGACTGCTGCAGTAGGTAGAGCTGTGGCCTGATATTGTCTGGCCGGGGAAGTTAAATTCTCCTTGGAGGCAGAAAATCCACTTAAAGTCTTCTTGGGGCGATAACTGCCACCAGCCAAGCGTGACTTTTGACTGGGGGATAAATACTTAGAAATATCTGCAAACACCGGACGGTCTATGGTCTGTAAAATCAAGAAAATAATTCAATACCTTTTCATGGTGTCCCGTTCTTTCCCAACTTACCGACATATTATCCGAATAATTATCCGCTGAATCATCGTTAAAACTTCTCAAATACGAGGAGCTGGTGTTTGTCTTAGGCGCTGTATATGAATCAGCCAACATCATTTTTAATCTACCCACTGCCTCATTATAGGCATAATTTGTATAATCCATAGTTTTTGATTTCTTTTGTACACCTCCTCTACTGGGTCTCATAGAGATATTTCTATAGGAAAATTAGTTAGAAAACAAAATTTATTGTTATTTTCTAAATTCTTTCAACATTTTTTTGCCGAATTTTTTAGTTTCTTTAATATCCATGCTCTGCTTAGTTCTAACTGTTTTCGATTTTTCCCTTCAAATGACAAGTGTCTATTTAGTTGGTCAAGTTGTGTTGCTTTGGCAACCTGTAAATTGGTCACACAAAAACAAATGCATAAATTTTCTTATAAGCCACCACCATCAGCAAGCAGTACCCAACACTGTTAGTATTTTTTGGCTGAAATGTTGTTGTGTCTGCTAGGTTGGTTGTGGTTGATTGAACAGGGTGAATTTTGAAGTAAAAAGTATGCGGCAAAGAGGGGTGAGTTTTAAAATAGCTGAGAGTTAAATTTCTGTTTTAAATAGTTAGTTAGTTAGTTAGTTAGTTAGTTAGTTTAGTTAGTTAGTTAGTTCGTTAGTTAGTTAGTTAGTTAGTTAGTTAGTTAGTTAGTTAGTTAGTTGTTAGTTAGTTCGTTCGTTCGTTAGTTCGTTTTGTTAGTTAGTTAGTTAGTTCGTTAGTTTCGTTTGTTAGTTAGTTAGTTAGTTAGTTCGTTAGTTAGTTCGTTCGTTCGTTCGTTAGTTCGTTCGTTCGTTCGTTAGTTTTTCGTTCTTCGTTCGTTCGTTCGTTAGTTCGTTCGTTCGTTCGTTCGTTCGTTCGTCGTTCTTTTAGTTCGTTCGTTCGTTCGTTCGTTTCGTTCGTTCGTTCGTTCGTTCGTTCGTTCGTTCGTTCGTCTTCGTTCGTTAGTTTTCGTTCGTTCGTTCGTTCGTTTCGTTCGTTCGTTCGTTCGTTCGTTCTTCGTTTTCGTTCGTTCTTCGTTCGTTCGTTCGTTTCGTTCGTTCGTTCGTTCGTTCGTTCGTTCTTCGTTCGTTCGTTCGTTCGTTTCGTTCGTTCGTTCGTTCGTTCGTTCGTTCGTTGTTCGTTCGTTCGTTCGTTCGTTCGTTCGTTCGTTCGTTCGTTCGTTCGTTCGTTCGTTCGTTCTTCGTTCTTCGTTCGTTTTTCGTTCGTTCGTTTCGTTCGTTCGTTCGTTCTTCGTTCGTTCGTTCTTCGTTCGTTCGTTCGTTCGTTCTTTCGTTCGTTCGTTCGTTCGTTCGTTCGTTCGTTTGTTCGTTCGTTCGTTCGTTCGTTTCGTTTTTTTTTTTGTTTTTTCGTTCGTTCGTTCGTTCGTTCGTTCTTTCGTTCGTTCGTTCGTTCGTTCGTTCGTTCGTTTCGTTCGTTCGTTCGTTCGTAGTTAGTTAGTTAGTACCTAGGCCTCTATTGGGCCTGTTGTGCGCTCCTCAAGTGGGAATCGAAACCACCACCTCCTACTCGAGGCCACTCTATTTTAAATAGTTCACAATATTATTATTTTAAATTTATGTTGATATACATTTCTCATAAAAAACTTAAAAATTAATTTTTTTACAATATATCTTTTTACTTGTTACCCTGAGGCTTTTTTGCGAAAAGTTTTTCATTCCGTTTGTAATTTCTATAATATAATTTTTTTGTTCCTACTTTTATATATTCCTAGTCCTTATAGATAGTGGAGTCGATTAAGCTATGTCCGTCTGGATGTTTGTTGGCACCAATCTGAAAACACCAGATACTTCGGGACACAAATCTTCAACAATTCTATCGGATATGCTTTCGAGAAGTGTCCTATTAAAATAGGCAAAATCGGTCCATATATAACGGAAATAGGAAGAAAAAGTAGAAGAGCCACTGAAAATTTCATGAACAATTTAGGTTTTTGGTGCATGCTGAGACCAAAATTATAAAGAAACAACAACAACACATATAATCATACGGTACTTGTACTTGCTTGTTTATAAAAACAAAGCAAAGAAAGAACGACACGTGACGAGTGAAGTTGTGTGTTGTAATTGCCTACATAGAAACATAAAATTATGTATGTAGAGTCCGGATTAAGTGAGAACCTATAAAATGGGAACTTTTTGATAATTTATTCGTTCTTCAAATGGTACTTTTTGAATTTTCTATAATATGGAACCTAGAAACATGTAACTTATGGGGGACTTCTTCGTACGAAAGTTCGTCAAAAAGTACTTTTTGAATTTTCTCTCTTTTGTACTTTTTCGTTCTTCAAAAGATACTTTCTGAATTTTCTAGAATATTGAACCTAGAAACCAAAAATTAAGGATGTAGGGTCTGGAGTAAGTGAAAACATATAAAAGGGGATTTTTTGGTACTTTTTCCTTCTTAAAAGAGTACCTTAAATAAAAACATAAAAATAAATTATACACATATTGCTTCGACCTGACTTATGGTTCACGAGTAATATTAGCTAGAAAATGGGCCAAAGCATACACATATAGTTTGAATCCTTGTAAAATTCCGTCATGTCCGTCTGACTGCTCTAATTCGCTTAGAACGAAAAAAACAGAAACAAGATTTTTTTTTCAGTGTAGTTGATAGAAGGAGCGGACTTAACATCAGGTGAAAACTCCATATTGATGCCATGAGGAATATCGTGTCCCTACAAATATTCTCATCATCATCTAAAGACTCACCCCAGTACATTCCTGGACCTTATATGTATGTCGCCCAACCACACTACTGAGATGGCTTTGTTGTTTTGACAACAGCACCTTGAGACGTATTTGGTAGCCAGAAATACCCAAAATAATTGATCAGGATCCCTCTATATGAACTGGTTCGTGAGACAAACGATGTCGGAATTTCCAAAGTCAACTGAACCCAATAATTGCCCCGACAATTAGTCGCTTAGCATGAATCAATATATCCTGTTGAAATGGCAACATCACCGAGAAACTTCCCTGAAGCGTAAAAAGGCATACTAAATCAGTGCTAATCTCCAATATATGTAGACTTTCCTGATCTTTCACCAATTTTCGCATCAGTTCCATTCCCATGATCATAAAGATCTCTTTACGAAATGATAGACAATCACTGAACGCTAACCTGACAATTCCACAGCATATACCGGCGCCCCACTACGGTAAGAAATACCGATCGGGTTCAGCAATCCAGCATATACTGCTTTATACACAGACTTGTGTCACTTGAAGAGAGAATTATCCAACCCATTAGGTATAGGATATATCTGTCTTTAAATCAACATTCTCTCCCCGCGATTTTGAGTTTAAACCATAGCCACCACGGGGATCCCGAAGGAATCTCAACCAACTGACCAGCCAGGACATAGTCCTGCGGGCAACTGGCCACACCTAGTACCAGATTATGTGATTCTCTGGTTAGATACCATGTCAAATCATACCAAGGACTAGTCGAGAAGTGAAGTGACATCACCAGTGAGTAAGAACAAAGTGTCGGCTTATTTAATGGATTCGTACAACGGTCCACCGGTTACGTCTCTAGGTGCTGTTACCGACTCTACAGAGTCCATCCCATCTGCGTGGTTGTAAACGGAAGTGATGTTTTTGCATCTCAGAAGTTAAGCAACGGGGCAGCAATGGTCAGAGATTAGATAGCTCAAGTACTTACTGGAGCAAAGTTTCACTGCCGTGAAATAGGTCAATACGGCAGGTGTTCACGTAAAGCACTTCAATATTAATTAATGTTAGACATGCTTTCTATTTAAAATCTGTCTATAAACGGAAACGGATAACGGAAATATGAGCAAAAATCCGAGACAACCTCTGAAAATTTCCTCAAAAAAAGAAAATTTTTTGCATGCTTTGATAAAAAGCAACAACAACATTGCTTATTATATTTGATTCTTCCCCACTAGTGACCACTGTTCGATCTACATATAACATAATTTAAATGTCAGATTTGACTTTTTACTTAATTATCGATTTTTCTACTAAATAACCGATTTTTCACCAAAAAATTTTTTTATAAAAACTTTGAATTTCAGAATAAAATTGATTTTTATATTTTCTGTTTTAAAATTAGGTTTTCCAAAAAAAAAACTATTACTTTTTTCACTAATTATACAAGATTTATTAAAAATCTAGATTTCAATTCTATAACGAATCACTACAAATTTGATATTTTAGTCCAAATCTGACTTTAAAACATAAAGTCCGAAATTCAAAGAATATTTTTCAAATAAAAATTTCAGGGACATTTTTTCTTTTAATTTATCCACTAATATTCTTACAATGATTTATTATCTTGCCTTGTTTTAATCCTTTTCGAACGTGTTGTACTGGCACTGCAAACACTATCCTTATCCGAATTACCGAACGAGTTACGTCTGGGTGTTAAAGACTTATATTTCCACTGATCAACGTTTTGTAAATTATTCGAATCCGTTAAGTTTAATTCCCGCTGAAGGTTCTTTTGCGAATGACGTGGTGTATTCAATTGGCTTAAAATACCCGACAAATAATGTTCACTTTTCATTTTAGTTTACACGCCACGCCAACCGAACATATATATTTTAAATCAAATCAATAAGACGCAAATACGCAAAGTTGTGGTGTTACACCGACTTGCGGTTTTAAATGTTTCCTTTAGTTATGGTTCTTGTTATTGTAGTTAGTTTTTGCAGTTGTTGGCAATGTTAATTGTTGTAAAACAAAACAATTTGTAGTTTTCTAAATGCAAGAGCAAAAAATAAATAAAATGAATTACAGTAAACGGAAACAGCCTATTATAGGTTTAACACTTCCTTCCGTTATTGTTGTTTTTTCTCTACTTAGATTTGTTTTTGTTGGAGCTTTCGTTAAAGGATTCTTGTGTTATTTTAAATTGTATGCAATTATTTTTAAATGTTTTCATAACTTTTAAACACAAAACTTTTATTTTTGTTTTTTTTTTATTTTTATTTTGTATCCGTTTAATTGTTTCTTTATTTCAACACTTTTTTTGTGTATAAAAATCCTTTGCGTTTTATGTTTTTGTTCGTATTTCCTTGAGCCGAATCCCAACACTATTCTTCACTTTTCCCGTTCAACTGAAATGTTGTCAGGTTTATGTCAAGGCTTTTATAGACTTGTTTGTTGCATGTGTCTGTTGCAAACAAGAGTTGTTAG